CTTGTTGAGGGTTCCAAACTGTTCCAAGAACTTTCTGTGTATCGTTCGGCGGATCTTGACCAAGTGCGACCTCTCCTTGTTGCTCTTCATCATTCAGCACTGTGTTTGATACCCATCCCTTAACATGGAATCTGCCGGCATCAAGTACTTCATCAATATCTCTTGTCAGATCTTTGGCTGCTTATACAGTGTTCTGCGAGTCACATATGTCATCCATGTAGGTATTCTTCTTGATTGAATTGGCAGCTTCCGGCTTGACATCCTCTTTCAGCTCAGCAGTTTTACGCATTGCAACGATGGCCATGGTGGGCGATGGATGGTCCCCAAACGTAAGAACTGTCTTAACATAGGTATCAGGCTGGTGCTCTGTCTCGACACTCCTCCAAAGAAAGCAGTGGACATGCTGATCAATTGGCGGGATGCCAACCATATGATACATCTTTGCAATATCACCACAAACAGCAACAGCATTCTCACGAAAAAACGCAGTATTACCACAAAAAGGTTATTAAGTAGGTCGGGACCTTTGTACCAGTAATCGTTTAGACAGTGTCCTTTGAACGACGCAGAACTGTTGAAAACGATACGCAACTTTTTCTGTCTTCCATTTCTTTTATCTGTGCATCATAATCTTTGGCATGGTTTGGCAGCTTACTCAAGCGATGGTCTGTACTTTCCAGCTTTTTCAGGACTTGCGAATAGTTGTTTGGCAATTGGCTAGGGTCTTTCTTCCACGGATAGTTCATTATCCATTTCTTGCCAACCAACTCGCAGGACTCTTCTATCAACTTTAACTCTTGCTGTTCTTTCAAAGACATCTCAACTTCTTGACAATTGCATAAGGAGGGAGAAACACCCATTGATTCGGTTTTCCAAAAATCTGTCAAATCAACTGGGGGGGGCAAGACGCACATGCAAAACGTTATCGTTTTGGAAAGTTTGTTCCTTTGAGTCAGTCCCAAAGACTACCCACCCAAGTGGACTTTTTCTGACAGCAAGATTCTTCTTAATTTTAGTTTCACCAGCGTGGAACTGTGTGGGTATTTAATTCCAATCAGAAGGTCGGCCAGGCCAACTTATCTTTCTTCAATGTTGCAGTGGAGCAGCTTATGATGGTATTTCTTACAGTTGTCACCATTCCCATTTGCTTGACCACACTCTTTCCTTCGAGTACAGTTCACAGCAGTGTGACCTTTACTTCTCTTTAGACATGAAAAACATGCTCGTTTCAAGCTTATGACTGTTGATATGGCGCAACCATACTCTAAGATCATCTTTGGTCATCTTTCTCTCTATCAAGGATATTACATGGGTGTTGTCGATATCTTGTTTCCTCTTTCAGAATATTGTATGATCTTCGCACTAAATTCACAAGCTTGCTAAAGTGATGATCCCCACCAGGCTGGATTATCTTAAATTTCGCTAGATCTGATGTGACTGTATCTGACCAAATACTTGATCTAGGTATTTTCATGCTGTTTTCAAATCTGAACTTATTCCTTCGATCAACTTTGCTGGTTGGGCACTAAGACATGACCGAAGAATTGTAAGGGTGTCCCTTTCAAAACAGTGGGCTTCTACAGCATGCTGGAAATCTGACTTGAAAATAAAGTGCTGTCTTACATCTCCATCAAATTTGGGCAGTTTTGGCTTCTCATGTTTCAAAGCAAAAAGGGGCTTGACAATTTCACATTCTTTGTTACACTACTTAGTTTGTCTTCAGCAGGCTCATGCATATCTAAACTTTCCTGGTGATCATTTACACTATTGTTTTCATCATTCTCACCGTCCACATTTGCATTATTTTCAGCTTCATTAGCCTGATTTACTACATCATCATTTTCATTCTCAGTAACATTGGCATTCAAATAATCATTATACATCATAGAAAACTTCATGTACTCACTGTTACAAGCTTGCATCCATTCCTCAGCTTTGTCATATTGAGTGTCATCTAGCAACACTGTAAACTCTTTGTGCTTAACTTCCAGACTATTATACGCATTTTTAACAACGCTTCTTTAACTTCGACAACAGGGTGCTGAGCATCAATAAGTTCCTTACAAGCAGTAAACGCCCTCGTTAATCTACCTTTCGCTGCTCGTCGAACATTCTTGACTTTATCTTTATCCATGTTCATACTTTAATAGCTCCAAACCACGATCAGCATGTTAAATAAACACAAAGATTTTCAGATAATGGACCGACGATGGCATGGAACTAACATATTACCACAAAACACGCTTGTGATTTCAGGATTAATATTTAATATCAATAAATAACAACAAAATTATCATCATCAATCTGAAACTGAATACATAGAAATAAATCGCTGTTTACATAGATAAAAATAATAATAATATGACAAAATCGATTTAAACTTACATCTGTCCCAAGCAAATTTTTTTCTCTTATATCTTGGCATTTAAATAACAATAAATCTTCGTAATAAAGCCTCATATAGTCTTAAAAACGTTTCAAAAACATGTTCAACAATCTGCTTAGCTCATCACGTTTGCATACACAGATCATTCCAAATACTGTCCGAGAAAATCCCGACTAATTAAACAATGTTATAATAATCTAACATAACATACTTTCATTGTCAATGAAACAATACTTTTTATATTTAGTTTTGTTTTTTCACTTGGGTTTTGTAAGAAAGTTTTATACAGCTTATTTTTTCTCATCACTGATTTTATAATGCATCTAGTCATCCATGGACTTTTGCCTTGATCAATATTATTTTTAAAATGTTTTTGTCTTAAAGGGAAGTTTGTTTCATAGGTTGTTGTGAATATTTTAGAAAATTCATTAAAAGATTTTGTCGGATTTTCTTGAATAAATACCGTTATCCCATGATGCGTTTTTAATTGAGTTTGTAAATGATCTTATGGTAGAGTTATTAATTTCCCTTTTATAGATTATGTTAGTTTGTTTGGTACTGTTTTCTTCGGGATTTTTAGAATCAAACATGTGTAATATTGGTAAATGATCGGAGATATCAGTGAATATAATTCCATAATACTATTCTCAACTTTTTCTATATTATTTGTAAAAATATTATCGATTATTGTAGCAGTATGTTCAGTAATTCTATTTGTTTTTGTTATAAGAGGAACAAAAGATGATGTAAAAAGTTGTTCAATAAATCTATTGGCATAATCACAGGACTCTGATTTGAGTAAATCAATATTAAAATCTCCCATAAGATAACATATTTTCTTTTCTTTATCAATTTTATGTAGTAATACATTCATTGCATTTTCAAATACTTGAACTTTTTTGTTTGGAGGTCTATATATTGTTCCTACGATTATGTTTTTACTGAATGGCATGTTAATTTCAATAAAAACTGATTCAATTCCATCATCGTTGTTATTTACCAGTATATTGCCAATAAGAGTAGCAGAATCATTCTATATTCTAGTTGGTTTATCAATTGATGGTAACAAAGAATAACTTTGACAAGAAAGATGGAAATTTTCAGCATAGCCACAACTATTTGATTTTAGAAGATGCATGCTGAAATCCCCCATGATGCACAGAGATTTCCCTGAAGTAAATTTTTCAAGAATTTGATCAAGATATGCCATAAAACAATTAGGATTATTGTGTTGGCGATAGATAACTCCGCAGATTATGTTTTTCTTATTGTTGATTATTTCAGTCCATAAGGCCTGAAACACATAATTTCAGCATTTCTCTAGCACTATGTACTCTAACAAACACCACGGAAAAACGTCTGTGCATGCACCAAATTATGAAAATATGGCGGGTAATTTGAATATCATTTTCTAAAACGAAATCATGCTTATTAATTGGTCAAAAATTAGTAAAACAAACGAGAAAATATAGCAAATGGGTAGACTAGACATTAATTGAAAGCGTCCTGGCATTTAAAGTATGGAATGAAATATAATTCATGGAAAAAATTGTTGATTTTAACGGACATGACTTCGAAAATTTTTGCAAAATTATTATTCAAAACAAAAATTCAAACTAAAAAGTTAAGAAAACTCTCGAAAAGTTAAGCTTCTTAACCCACTCAAATTGTAGAATAAATCCTATAGTTTAATTATTGTGAACACAAAAATTTTTTATATTTGGCGACATAGTTTTTTTTAAAGAAATGTATCTCAAACGAAAATTCGGAAATTGTCATTGCTTAGTTGATAAACAAAATGTTTCAGACGATAAATTTGTCAACAATCACCTTTAGTTCATTTTCTTGTACAATACAATTTCTTGAACCTTCTGGCTGTATTTATTCCCAGTTTTTAGAATGACATGTTTATTTTCGTGCTCGAAATCTGGCTGTAAAGACGCACAATGAAGTCACCCCTTTTTACCGCCATTTTGAGCCTTCGGAAACGTTCGGAACAGCTTCTCATCAAGTTCGCAATACTATTACAGGTAAGGTTGACGCATGCGCAGACGTTTTTCCGTGGTGTTACTCTTAACATATAACAGATGGGCATTTTGTATGGAGCATGCGCGAAAAAATCAGTATGGCGACATATATCTATAGGAGTGCTTCATGGATTTATCTGGTTTTAAAGCTGATAAAACAACATTTCAATGAACGAAAACTTTGTAATATTTAGTGGAAAACATTAAGCTATGCAATCCAAAGGTTTTAAATTAAAAATAAGTATTTATTTTATTGCTTTGAAAATAGGCAAGCTCATTTTTTTGAAAGAATCTAAACTAATATTTTACCCATCATCTGTTTAATCTGAAAAGAAATAGATAGAACACTTGGCTACATAAGTTATAAAGGTATTGGTAGCTGATCTGAAAGATTTCAGTATTCCTGGTACACATTTTAACAAAGAATGACTGTAATTTTAAAAATTAAATATGCATATCAAAAACAATAGTTTTTATTAGAACAACACTGAATAAGTTGTTACTTTCTATTTTTACAAAAACAAGTTTGGAAACAGAATCTAGACCTCCAGCGTAATGTCATATTACCATTTGCGTTCAACTGGTCAGCGTCCCGATTTTTTTTGCATTTGTTCACGTTTCAAACGTACACATTTCTGAGCGAGACGTGCAGGTTTGAACCGGTAAACTGTTACATTGTTTACAAAAATTTCCAACGTTTGTGGGAAAATCCGAACAGGTTTTGTTCACATGATTAACCCGTTTGCAGGTTTTTATGTCATGTTTTATAGTTTGTTATTGTATCTTTTCCTATTTTTCCTGTGCAAATTTTTTGCGTAAAAACTTTCGGACAACTTATAACAGTATTCTAAAATCATATGTTGGAAACTAAACAAGTCAACAAATTCGGTAGAAGGTTATTCTCAAGGAGTCGCTCTCGATCAAGATTTGAGATGTTTAATTGTTGATAGCATTATAAAAGAGGGGGGCGATAGAGCCACGGGTTATATTCCTTGTACTTTTGCGAAGTTATCAAGACGGTTTTGTGTGTCGAGCAAGACTATAAAATCTGTGTGGCACCGATTTTGAGGAAATCACAACAACGCCGAAAAAAAAAGGAGGCATGACACACAGTAAATTGGAGGAAGGCAACCTTGAGTTGATCGAAGTTTTAAAAGTTCACTCGCCGTCAATCTCACTCTCTGAAATTATACAAGAGTTACCAACACTAGAAATTTCTATGTCAGCTATCTCGCGGGCCATAAAAAATAGGGCTACCTTCAGGCGAACAATATACAAGGAAAAAAATCGCTAGATTGGCAAGAGAGAGATTCACTCTGGAAAACATGTTCTATACCCAGCTTTTCATCAATTACCTTTCGTCAAAACATCCGTATAGATTAAAATTTTTTGACGAAGCTGCGATAAAAATTCCTTGTGTTGGAACTAGAACATACAGACACAGTGCTAAGGGGGACACGCAGTGTTGAAGTGGTTAGAAAACACAAGTCCCCCAATAAAACATTGAATATGCTTGTTTCTCTTGATGGCTCAGTTTACCACAACATCGTTAACAGAGGCACCAATACTGCTCGTTTTCCTATGTTTTTTGAAGAAGCATGCGAAGTTGCCAATATTGAGACTGTGTCTCGAGGTTGGTGACATTGTTGTGATGGACAATTTGTCCGCGCATCATTATGAAGGCGGGGAGATTTTGGAAGAGCGGTTTGACACGATGGGAATACAATTGTTATACACACCTTCTTACTGTCCTGATCTGAACCCAATTGAATTGTGTTTCAACAAGGTTAAAACTGTTTTAAATGGAGGCTTGAAGGATCTCGTTCATACCAATTTGAATTTGGCAGTTGCAGAAGCAGTCAACACTATAACGACACACGATATTGTTGGGTTTTATGAACACACGTCGTATCTTTTCGTTGAGTATGTTCTTACGTGACAATAAAAAAAATTCAATTTGATTACTGTATTTTATTACTATTACTGTAAATACCTAAACAAACAGTATACACTATGCATATTATATTTTTCTAAAGCAAATTAAACAAGAATTTAATAAGCTGTCTCATAAATATAAACAGGAGAGTCTAAGTTCCCTCAAATTGTAAAAGTGATATAATAATTTTTGATTTGATTTAATAATTTTGCCACAAAAGAAATTACAAAGGTAACACACAAAGAAAACAAAATAATTTGTTAAAAAAAAAATTGAAATTTGTGGCGAGGGAACCCAAATAGAAGCCAAAAGGCTTATTGGATATTGGATTACCCCGTCATAGTTTAAATAAGTATACAAAATATGTACAAGCAGCACACGGAATACAAGATACAAATTAAATGGTTATAGTCAAACACTACGGTGGAAATATATAGTAATTGAATACAAATACTTGTAATTAACATGATTATTAAATAAAGTACCAAAATTTAGTACAAATCAAAAACGTATTTTTTTAGCTTGGACAAAAATGATAGAACTGTTGGAGTATTACGGATATCAGGATCCAATGAGTTAAAAAATTTAGGACCTTGGTATTTTATAGTGAACTGTTTGGTCTTAGTTCTACAAAATGGAATATAGAATTGACCAGCACTACGTAAGTTGCGAGTGTGGACTTGATCAGTAGTTGAAAAAAAAATGATAAAGCTTTGTGGGAGGAGATTACTTTTATAAGAAAACATAAACTTACCCAAATTCAAGAAGTATATATCATTAAATTTGAGTAAATTTAAAGATTTGAATAAGGGTGATGTATGAGCGTCAAACGTTACATTACATAATATTCTAATGACTTTTTCTGAAGTAAAATGAGGCGATTAAGATTGGAGGGATATGTCGAGCCCCATATTGTAACACAGTAATTAAAGTAAGGATAAGCAAGTGCAAAGTATAGTGTACGCAAAGCAGAACGGGTGAGGCAAAAGCTTGATTTGTAAATAATCCCGATGGATTTAGATACTTTACTCGCAATATGAGAAATATGAGACTTCCAGCACAAATGCTCATCCAAAATTATACCCAAAAAGGTGGTTTCTTTAACTCTTATTAATTTATGATTGTTTATTTCAACAGGTAAATCAAGCATCTGCCTCCTTTGCCGAGGCGTAAAGATTATATAACTGGATTTCTTGATATTAATAGTCAATCTATTGGCAAGAAACCATTCAGATAGATTCTTCATTTCGTTTTTGATGACATTATCTAAGGCTGATAATTCACTATCAGAATAAAATACATTAGTGTCATCAGCAAACAAAATGAATTCGGAGATCATGGAAGCATTACATATGTCATTCATATAGATCAAGAATAGTAGAGGTCCAAGGATTGACCCTTGAGGAACACCTTACTTAATGTTATTACTACATGAATGAACACCATTATATTCAACATATTGTTGTCTATTAGAAAAATAATTTTTCACCCATTCAAGGGCCAATCCTCGAATGCCATAATGCTCCAATTTTAGAAAGAGTATTTCATGGTCAACAGTATCAAAAGCCTTGGATAAATCTAAAAATATTCCAATAGTAAACTTTTTATTATCAAATGCAGTTGCAATTTTGTCCAATAAATTAGTTAAAGCATGCGAAGTGGAATGATTTTTTCTGAAGCCATATTGATTTTCAAACAAGATATTTTGCTTATTTAAATAATGCAATAAACGATTATATACAACCTTTTCAAGAACTTTAGAGAACACAGGTAAGATTGAGATAGGTCGATAATTTGAGAAAAAGTTACCCTCACCGGATTTAAAAATTGGTAAAACCCTTGCAACTTTCATCTGGTCAGGAACAATACCGGATTGTATAGATAAATTGACAATGTGGGTGATAGGTTTAGAAATAAAATGAATAAAGTCCTTTATAGTCCACATCGGGATATTGTCGTAACCTCCCACAGTCCCTGAACGTAAGGAACTAACTGTTTCAGTTATTTCCGATTCATTGGCGGGTTCGAAAAACAACGAGTTTACAAAATTTCCAGATAAATAGCTGGCTGGTGATTTCTCTGAGCTAGGTACTTTTACAGCTAAATTCGGGCCAATGTTGGTAAAATAGTGACAAAACCTATTGGCAATGTCTAAAGGATTGGTGACATTTAGATTTAAATTGTTATCAGTAAATGTTGATGGCAACGGGGTTCTGCGCTTTTTCTTATTGATGATTTCATTGATAATTTTCCAAGTTGCTTTAATGTTGGATTTATTAGATTCCAGCTTCTCCTCATAATAAAAACATTTGGAGGTACGTAATACATGAGTAAGCCTGTTTTTATACTTTTTGTACCTATCCTCATTTAGAGGAGTAGGAACACGTAGAAATTTCTTGTACAACTTATTTTTTTTTCTTATGGACTTGTGGATACCCTTGGATAGCCAGGGCTTATTTTTGAACCTTGCTGCTTTAATTCTTTTCAAGGGAAAGGCGGTATTATATATACGCATGAACTCAGAATGAAAACTATCATAAGCATAATTTGGATCATTGTATCCCTCAATATCAGACCATCTGTGATTTCTGAGAAGGTCTTGAAATTTTAACGAGTTAGTCTTACTCCTATCACGGAATGTTACATATGCTGAAGCGTCACCATAATTTTCAACTGATTGATCACTAAAATAGCCAAAAATTGGTAAATGGTCAGAAATATCGGTGAATAATAGACCGCTAAATGAATAAGTTTCTAGATTGTTTGTGAAAATGTTATCAATGAGAGTAGCAGAATTAGATGTAATGCGAGTAGGCCGAGTAATTAACGGGAAAAACATATTGGAGTACATAATATCGAGAAATTCACCAGTGCGTTGGTGGCTATGATAATTTAATAGATTCAAATTAAAGTCACCCATTATGTAGCAAATTTTCTTTTCTTTAGAAATAATAGAAATTAGTTGGTCTGTATTGTTAATAAACTCATCAACAATTTCATTAGGAGGCCTATATATAACTCCAACAATAATATTTTTCCCGTTTGGTTTATGAATTTC